ATTGATTATATATATATATATATATATATATATATATATATATATATAATTAGAAAATATATTATTATTGATTTTTGTATGAGGTAAGATGATACTATATCTATTGATTTGATTCGACAACAAGGTCAGATTTATAAGGAGTTAGATTCAATTATATTGATCTATATGATCATCCACCCTCCATCTTCAATCCAACGTCTGCAACTCGATCACAGCCTACCAACGACAACATAATTTTCATTTATAAATAATTTAAATTTAATAGGAAAAAAAGAAAATAAAATAAAAGAATAATCCCCGTCGTCCTTTGCGTCCGAAACGTCTCCTAAAACCCTCGATTCGTGACCTCGGGAAGAAGCGGCGACGCGATGAGATGAAGGCACGGCCTCTGACTCCCATAATACGGCTACAGCTCCTCCACTCACGTCGCCTCCGCCCCGTCCTCGGAGCTCGGCCTCTCTCCTCCGCAACCGACCACCCCGACAAGGCGCCGCCGGCCTCCTCCTCCTCCTCCGTCGCCCCGCAGTCGGAGGTGGAGGCGAGGAGCGAGGCATACCGGCGGCTTGAAAACCTCGACTTCATGACCGCCGCCAAGATCCTATTCACCACCCCTCCCAAAAGGAAGAAGTTCGGGTGCGCCTCGTCCTTTCCCTCATTTCTGTCCTTGCAACCTCTTGTTTCAGGATTGGTTTGGATCTGAAGCTCTTGGTTTGCTTCTCAGGCTCGATTTCCATCTGGTACAGCTCTTCTTTGCTTGCTTGCCCTCTTTAGGTATTCCTTTCCGATCTAAATTTGAGTTTCTGTTTCCGTTCTGTCATTTCTATGGATTTTTGGGGCGAAATGTGATATCTGGGGAAAAATCTTTGGCCTTTTGATCTAGAAAGCTAAAGGGGTTTCCTTTTCTGTGACAGCTGTGTACTTGGTGGCACAATACGCGCGATATGAGATCAGAAGAATGGAGGCGGTAATGTTCGCAACTCCTGGCATCCTTTGCTTGTCTTGTCCATGATCACTATTATGCTTCGTATTGTTTCCGTGTGAATGTTTGTTGCATTTTCATTAGCTCCAGTTAATGATGTCTTTTTTCTTTCAGTATTTTAAGTGAATTGTAATTGTTAGAACACTGATATCTTGGCAGAAAATCCAGAAACTATAAGACAATAACACAAACAACAATTTGTTAGATTTAATCTATTTCATCTTTTCTTCTTTCTATTTTCATTATGATCTGTTAGCCCAGTAATGTCTTTTGGCTATTTGACAAATTAGTTTATATAGCTTTATCCAGATCTCACAATGGCGGGGGGCCTTCTGAACTGGTCCTTTTCCTTTTTAGCTTTAATGTATTTTGTTCTTGTTTGTTAAGGGAATAAAATTGTAGATTTTTGGGTCAAGGGATAAACTCAGAAAGTCTGGCAAAGTGTAAAAAAAGTTCATGATTTGCACACTTTGAATGTTGAATTAGATTCACAGTGAGATATTGGAGATTTATTTACTGCCCATTATGTAATCACATGGAGATTTTTTTCTTCAACTTGGATCAAGGAAATGACCAATTAAATGAAGCAACAAAGAAGAGTTATTTAATCACTGTTTTGGAGAATTATACTCATCCGAATTTAGAAGTAAAGGGCTTGTAATTTATGAAGTTATTGTTGCAAGAATGCATCGAAATTGCTTAGGTGGTTACATGCTTGATTCTTTTGTAGCTAAATTGCAAACATTGGTGGTTTTTGTCTTCTTAGAATTGTTTTTAATTCGTTTTTGTAATAGTAGTTGAGTTCATTTCTAGAATTGAATAGAATAGCTTTCACTAGAGTTATTTCCTTGGATCAAAATTGTTTCATTTTATTTTTCAATATTTGTTGCTGTTTGATATATAAACGTGCATTTTGATGATGATCTGATCTCAAGGCACAAATTTTTGTTCCACATTATTAAGAAAGAAAAAGTACATGTTCTAGTTCCCTGAAAAAGAAGTCTTAAGAGGGAACTTTGAGCTATACAATCTTTGCCAGATCACAGTGTGCTTCAGGGGTAAAGTCACATTGTATGCAAAAATCATGTTTGTGCTATGTCACACTTATGTAATCTTGCAGTTACTATTAAGTGTCCTTGAGATAGAATATTCCTAGAGCGAAAAAGCTACATATGGGATGTAATAAACATCATCGATTAAATTCCCATGGTCCATAAGACGATAAGGATTTTTGTTGTCTCCCTGGATTTGGCGATATCATCTTTGCATGGTGCCTTGCAAAGTTCTTGGGAGACCTTATGAGCAAGGCTGCCCTTTTAGTTGCACTAGAATTATCTTAGTTTCTTGTGTATCACATAGCAGAAGACGAATACTTCACTTAGAACATGCTCTTTATCAAATTCTTTTTGCAGTTAAAGATGACATAATAGGCAAGTTCTGGACTAGTTCTTATTAATTTGATTGGAAAAAAATGTTAGGATTCCGTCTTGTTTGTCTGTTGCTATGGATTTGATCTATTTTACATCCCATTGTCGTTTCAACTCTAAACATCCTCTTTCTGACAGTATTTGGTTTCATTTCAGGAATTAGAGGAGAAAAAGAAACAAGACGAGGAAAAGCAGAAAGCAAAAGAGGCAGAGATGAGCAACGACGAAGAAAAGTCTGAAGCAGAGTTGTCAAAGGTTGACGAAGAAAAGTCTGAAGCAGAGTTGTCAAAGGTTAAAGCCAGGTTGGATGCACTGGAGGAGGCTGTAAAGGAAATTGCTGATGAGAAAAAGAAAATTCCCACTTCCAAATTATCCAAGGATCAAGATCAAGACAAGAGAGAGAAGGTTACATCTGTTGATGAGAAGTCCAGTACTCAGAGCCAATTGAACACAAGAAGCAGCGATACGGAAAGGGTCGGTGGTTCTGGCCCTTGAGCTTACATTGCAACAACTGACAGAGTGGAAAGGAGGACAAGCAGTTGAGTCTGGAGAGGGAGCATCTGGGAGGTCAACGAAGAGAATCTGAATATATATGCGCATAACTAGTATACATGATCCTGGCAATACAGAGAAATCAATACAAGTGAAACACGTCTTCTGGTGGATGATCTGGATAGGATAAATTTTGGGCATTTATGTATGATTTACTTGAGCAGTAACTATATCATCTTTCAAGGCACAACTTAATCTTGGAGATTGTTCGATTATTTCATTATTATCTTTCTCGGTGGCTCTCTTTTTCTACTTGGAGGCAATTACAGTGAGTTGCTGCTTTAACCATAAGGTCTGTTAGACCAACCTTGTCTAGTTTAATGTCATTATATGTGAATGTGAAAAGCACTATGATTATTCATAGACTGCTAAGTGGGAATATATTTGATGATGCATGTGAAGCTTCTTCTGCTTAAAACTATGATCTTTTGAAGATGGCATGTTTGTGAGCTGGCAAATTTTTTTGATGTATTAGTTAAATTAGTATAGAAACTTTTGAGTCAGATGCTTATTTAAATGAGCCTATATATATATATATATATATCAAATCAATTGATTGGTGCAATTTCACACCTTTTGATAGATGACATGTCATACTTCAATCATATTTTATAAGAATTAATTATATAATATCTCTCATAATTAAATATTTAATATTTTGATCTTTATATTTTTTAAATATTATATTGAGATCCATGTATGTATATACTCAGACAAAATCAATACATGTTCAATGATAAATCTTATAATATTTTCATTAGCAGAATTGATGACATAAGAAGAAATAAAATTAAATCTTATAGAATCTTAATATAATTTTTGAAAAGATAAAGATCGAAATACTAATTAGAAAAGTTAATATATAATTAGCCCTATCTATTACATGAAATCCTCTTCACAAGTAAAGTATCAGAATACTTATAAACTAGAACAAGCAAGAACAAGAATTCAAGAAAAACAAAACATCAACACATGCACGCAGGCACGTCATAAATTCCTGTTATCACACCACAAATCAGACTTTCGTTCACTCACAACTCAGAACAGTGGAAAGAGACTGACCAAAATTGAAATGGATCACAGTAGTTGTCAGATCATCGAATGCACAAGGTGAAGAAACTCTAGTAAACATTGGCTAATAAACCAATAACCAAAAAACTAAGATGAGACTGCCATCCAACTCTTTCTTAAAACAGCTAATCACAATTCAAAATCTATTTTATTGATCTCAAGCACCATGAGATTACACAATAGCATTGGCTGCACTAGCAATCCTTGGCCACAGGTCTGCACATTCCTTCCCGATGGGTCCCGTAATAGCAGATCCTGCAATAATCAATTCAATAAAGTACTATTGCCTATGAATCCTTGAAAGGAGTTAAACTTAAAGACAAAACTATAAATTGAGGTATTTAGCCACATATCAATAGTTAAATTGGATTACAGTTGTGGCCATAATAAGCTAAATATTTCACAAAATGATTTAGAATTACATTTGGATTCCTTTCTAATTATGTGCTATAGATTTCTAGTGTTTAGAGGTGAACATATTGCCCATGCTGTTGTAACATACCTTTCATTTCTCCCTTTGGATTTACAATCACTCCAGCATTATCTGTATAAATTGAGAGGTAAAAGCATTAAACAGCTGAAAGCATGCAGTCCGCATGTGCAGGAAAACAACTACAAACCTCTAAGCTTCTGCATTACCACTAAAATATTAAGAAAACTCACGAATGATACTTAAATGATGATTCCATCAGGTAAACAAATGATCAGTGCAAACAGATAGATTTATGATAAACCAACAAAATGTCATATGACCTTAGCATAATTCATTCAAACTTCATGCTTCATTTCAGATTCAAGAACTAGAAGAGTTTGGTTCCTTTTGCTTAAGAACACTAGTGCAAAGTATCTGATCTTTCAATGCTCGATTATCTTGATTGTCATAAAAACTACATGAAATTGCCAAGCAATTTTCTCGCAAAATGTAACCACCTTTTTTTAATAATATAAACATGATTAGTAAACATTAATTTCCTAACATAAGATGAATATTTGTCCAGTAAATGTATTGAAAATTCGCAAATATGCCATAGTCACAGGTCAAGATCGAACTTATAATCAAATCATTACAGTTTACAACTTTGGAACTCAATTGTTCAGGTAAACCAACCATGAAGAATGATTAGCATCTCCGGTTGAATTATGATTGTACGATCTCAAACTTCTACATCGACTAAGATTACAAGACACAACAACTTGTGTACATCAAAGGGAAACTATTTGGTGGGAACAGTTCAATACCCCCTACCCTACTATAGATAACTATACAAGGGACACTCATTTTATACACTACAATGTCAACAACGTCAAGCACAATATACGGCAAGGGAATTAATCAGCAGGTCATAACGGAGTGGGTAAAAATTAGGAATTTGCAAACGGAGATCATCAAGCACACCTTCAAAGTACATGTACACGCCGTCCTTTCGGCGCCAGGGCTTGCGCTGGCGGACGATGACAGCGGGCATGACCTTCTTCCGGAGATCGGGCTTCCCCTTCTTGACAGTAGCCATGACCATGTCCCCAACGCAGGCGGAGGGCAGGCGGTTGAGGCGGCCCTTGATCCCCTTGACGGAGATGATGTATAGGTTCTTCGCCCCCGTGTTGTCGGCGCAGTTCACCGTCGCGGCCACAGGAAGACCAAGCGACATCCGGAACTTGTTCCCAGCCGATCCTCCGCGCCCTGCAAAACCCGACACAGCAAACCCCGCTTAAACGACACTGAACAGAGCCCCGAACGTTCGATCTCGAAGAAATCAACCGGAGATGGAGGAGGTTACCTCGCTTCGACATTTCGGCGAGCTCGAGCTACCACGCGATGCGACTTCGGGAATGAGCATGCCACAACTAATGCGTCGCCCTTTTATAGTACCAAGCGGCCGAAGGGAATTGTTCTAGGGTTTATGGTGACCGTATATTACGAGAATGCCCTCTGTGGTGGGTCCGATATAGAAGTTCATACGATCCGTTCGACAAGACCAACCCACCAATCACGAGCTCAGCACCCACGGAAACAGGTGAATAGCGTCCAATGAAATAAAAGGTTGTTTTCGGGTGGGGTTATTAGGGTACCTAAAAGTTATTGTTGAGGACTACAGCATTACGGACCTTTCAGAATCGAAGCCTCCACTCCTCCAAATCCGATATAATTACAGAATTACTCGTCTGCAGCTTTGCCCGGACATTATGAGGGAGTCCGGCTCGACGGCTTCCCTCGTTTTCTCTCGCCCTTCGCTTTGCTGCCCCTGAGAGCGAAGAGGGCTTCGTCAAGGGCTCTTCTATCTCTCTACCGCTCCTCTTCCTTCTCCTCCGGTCGCGCCACGTATCAGGTCGCTAGCGTGGTCATACGATCGTACGGAGGGACACGAAGACAGAGTTACGAGGGGATTCGGTGAGGCATGCAGTCGGATAGGATGGTAATTAGCTTGAGGCCTGGAGGCGGCGCCGGAAACTGCCCCCATGGTTCGACTCCGCATCCTCTGGCTGCGACTCCACAATTGGTTCCTTCTCCGTTCTCCCCATCCTTCGCCCCGCCGGCGCCGCCCTCCCTCTTAAGGTCGATCGAAAACGCTTTAGATCGATCTATTGCTTCGCTTAGTTGATCAAAGTTTGCGTCTTTAAATGGCCTGATCTGATTGATATGCAGGATGGGACCTTTCTATTGGTTGGTGGTTTCATTGATTGGGTCTTTCGATCCTCCTTTGTATGATTTGCTCTCTTTTACCTATATAGATGGAGCCTGATCGATAATTTTACTCTGAAAACTAGCTTTGGAACTCTGAATGGGCTCTAAATTGCATGTTTTCAACTGTAGTACAGAATTTGTTGTTGTTTGATTGGTGTTGATGGTTGTGATTAGATTGACGTACTCCTTCTTGGTCATTTCGCATGTTGACCTCTGCTAAATTCGTAATTTATAGTTGCAAGCTAATGATTGATCATCTTAAAATTTGTTTTTATGAGATATTCTTTGTTTAAATAAATGCTGTCTTAGTGCTCATGTTAATGGGTTGATCTCTTCGTTGAATTTCTATGCTATGGATGCTAGCTTATATCCTTTTAGTTCCTGGTAACTAAACCTTTTAACGTGCTTTTGGACAGATGATAGCACCGATCTAAGTTTCCTGAGACTCGTCATATTCTAGCCAACTTATAGAGTTTCTTTGATGTACAATATGTTATAGACACTTGACTACACTTAGTGCCATCATGCCATTTGGTCAAATTATTGTCAATGTTGTTTTTTGGAGTTGTCTACTTATTTTATATAGTCTTTTGGATAACTCTGAGAATAACAATTAGGAGTATTATTTGACATCACAGTTCACTTTGGCAGATTGGAGAATCAAGGTCTGGGAGTCATGAACATGTCTATTACACAAGGGATCAACTTTTGCATGTTCGTGAGTACATCAAAATTTTCATTTGTTTGAACTTTCTTCTGTCACTTTAGCATCTCTTGTTGTTTATCTTTAATGCAATGGGATTTTATTTTGTTTTCATGTCAGTCTATGGCAGTCTTAAATTAAATCTTGATTTTATTCTGTTACATTTTAGCTTGCTGGGAAAACACTTCTTTGCTTACCAATCACAATCTAGTGGGACTAGAACACTAAAGTTTGTCGTTCAATGAGAATTAATACAACTCATTGTTTCTAGTGGTAATGATAAAATATAGCTTAGCAGTGTTTGATGAAAATTGATCCAAATCAGTGTTTCATGTCAGTCTCAGTGAAAAAGAGCGGGTGCTGAAAACTGTAAAAGGGTAATTATCCTTAACTCTTTAGTCCAGCAGAATATGTTGATGACATGTATTCTTTGAATTCTCTTGGAAACTTTTCATTTTTGGTGATGATTCATTGCAGTATATTGAACAAGCTGACACCAGAAAAATTTGATGTTCTCAAAGGCCAACTGATCAATGCTGGAATTACCACACCTAATATTCTAAAGGTCTTAATCTTAATACTATATTGCTTTCGAGAACTTTAGCTCTAATTTGTCAAAAGTTAATTTGGAAAAACACAGGACGCTGCAGGATGTCATTACTCTCATTTTTTAGAAAGCAGTCTTCAAGCCAACATTCTGTCCCATGTATGCGCAACTTTGTTCTGATCTTAATGAAAACCTACCTCTATTCCCCTCTGAAGATGAAGGTGGGAAGGAAATTACTTTCAAGTGCATACTCTTAAATAATTGCTATGAGGCATTTGAACATGCTGGAGACTTGAGTGCTGAAGTGCAAAAGCTCATTGGGCCTGACTAAGAAATGGATTGTAAAGATAAAGAGAGAGTGGTGAAACTCCATACTCTTGGTAACATTCGTCTCATCAGCAAGCTTTTAAAGCAGAAGATGGTGCCAGAGAAGATAGTTCATCATATCGCTCAGGTAACCATCATTTATGCTAATACTAGATCTTCTATACTTTTATGGAATGTACACTTTTAAGAGATTTTCTGATATAGTTGCTGTGAGCAGGAGCTATTGGGGCATGATAACAGAACCTGTCCCGCTGAGGAAAATGATGAAGCAATCTGCCAATTATTCAACACCATAGGGAAGCATTTGGATGAGAGTCCCAACTCTCATTGTTTCAATGATGCCTATTTTAACTGGCTCAAGGAGTCAACTATCAATCCTCAACTTGCACCACACCTAAGATTTATGGTTTGTGTTGTGCTTGGCCTACGGAAAAATAACTGGATTCCTCACTGTGAAGAGGTAAGCTTTACCCTGTTTCTGTTTGTAGATTTTCTGGTTCTGTTTTTTTGGAATATAAATTACATTTATAGATAAGTAGCAAGACCGAATTATTCTTCAAGAGAATCATAAATCCTGATGTGATTTTTCCAAGAATTGAGGATTTTTCTGCCTTTGCAGGTGAAGGTCAAAACCATTAGTAAAATCCATATTGAGGTAGAAAAGAATCTTGGGTTGCACCCTTGCAATCATGAGAAATAGTCATGATATTGGTGGTCAGGGGGTCTCAGTGCTATCAACAGACCTGGAACTTGTGGTATGATTCCTGGGATGCCTGTAACAAGAAAAATGCCTGGAACGCCTGGATTAGATGGAGATTTTCTGGGGAGTTCCACGGAGCAAATCTAAGCCCAGGAGTGAAGCTAAATGTGTCCATAGTTCTTCAGTGGCTAAGTCAATTTCCATCAACTCAAAGTTCTTACCTCAAGGTAGTGGTGTCCTGATTGCTGGTAAGACTAGTCTGTTGTTGCAGGACAGTGGGCCACCAGCTCATTCTCTGCTCTTGTTTCAGGCACAGGAAACTCTCCATCTCAAAACTCAAGGACCTTGATGCCTGTTGGTCAAATGCCCCAACCTAAATCCATGGAGAAGTCAGTGGCAACACCCAAATTTAATACTAGTGAGCTACATAAGAAGATGATTGCTCTTCTGGAAGAGTATTTTCACATCCGCCTTCTAGATGAAGCACTTCAATGTGTAGGGGAACTGAAGAGTCCAGAATACCATCCAGAGGTGGCTAAGGAGGCTATCAATCTAGCTGTGGTCAAGGGCCTCTCATGGCTCAAATCCATCATAAAGCTTTTGGAGTATTCATTGACTAAAAAGGTTTTTCCCCCAAGGGACTTGGGGACAGGTTGTTTGCTTCATGGGGCATTGCTGGATGACATATGCATTGACTTGCCAAAGGCACTTTCTTGTATGGCGAAGTGGCCGGTGAACTAATTCTTGCCGGTGTAGTTGATCTGAAGGTGGTGGAGAAAATTTTCAGGAAGGTGGAAGATGCCAGTTTCCAGTCGGCAGTATCTGATGCTGTGATGGGAATTCTTGCGGCCGAAATCAAGGCTTGCGAGGAACTTTTGCATTGAATTCATTTTAATGTCTTCTGCTAAGGTTAATCTCTTCTATATTCTGTATGGGAATAAGATTTTTGGTGCCATTTCTTTTCCCTGCTCCTTCCACTGTGTTCAGGTTTTTTATATGAGATTAGGAATTTTACAGCAGCAATTAAGTCTATGACTTGTAGATTGTTGCAAAATTGTGTGTATCTTTATTAGTGACTGTAGAGGAAAGAACAAATGCCATGGTGTTGAGCCATGGGTAATTTTGCCCGAACTTTGAAGATAATAAAGGTATAATGTTTCTTTTTACCTTCATTTATCAAAGAATTTTTCTGCAGTTCATTGGAAGAATGTTCTTTTTTGGTATCTCTAATATTGTGGGACTGTAGATGAACATAACAGTGGTATACCAACACAGAATCCTGTTTCTATATGCTCTATCGTCAACACAAATTGAGCATGGAGTATGGCATCCCATGTGAAGAACTCCATCCGCAAGAGCTGAAGACCGACCACCAACGTGCAGAATAGATAAGTGATCCATCTATTTTTCCTGTGTTCTTTCCGTTTTGTTAACGCAGTTGTTGCTATGACATTTCCAGACTTTGGACTTTCAGAGAACACATTTGTTCAAACGATGCAAAGTAAATAGTCTGCTTATATGACCAGCTTGCCAAAGTTTGGCTATTCAATCATCTTTATTCTGCCTTGAAAAACCGGATCAATGTTCTTCCAGATAGACAAAGATGCTTTAGAATCAATGTCGCCTTTTTCCTCATCCTTTTCCCATTCTACCTATACCCGATCTGATGCCATGGACCCGTTTCTCCTCCTTTTTCAGTGTTCTCATGTTCTTATACTATTCTATCACAGCAAGTCCTATAAAGTCCCCTCAATCTTCCCTACGATCACTGTTACCAAACAAACTCCCAGGATGAAGCTTAATCTTCTCCTGTGCTTTCTCCTCTTATTCCTCAGAGCCAACTGGGGTGTACCTACTACTACCAGCCATGGTGCAAAAGACCAACCACTTCAAGGTAAAGAGAAGCCTTTGTATAAGCATTCACAAAGCAATAACTGTATGATGTATGACTTGGTTGCAGGCCTGAATGTGACCGTCGAGCCGAGGAGTGGTGGCAATTCCGGAGGGGAGAAGATGGAGTTTGATGGTGTGAAACGGGTGGAGTACTCGAGGAAGAGCAGCTCCGGAGGCAAAGGAGGAGGGAGGACGGGTGGCGGCGGCTCGCAGTCGCTTCATCAACCTCGTCCACAGAAGAGCAGTTCGCCGACGATGCAACAGCCATTTGGCTTCTTCTCTCTCCTGCTTTACCTGTACCTTGCTTGAACTCAAGCACTTGCCTTGGATCTTCAAGCAATCTACTAAGTGGTGTCTTTTAAAGGTTGACATGCATTTATATCACTTGTAACTCTTGGAACGAATATGCTGAGAATAAATCAAATCTTCCCTTCTCATAATAACAGAGGGTGAGATGAAGAGGGAGGAATGAGCTGGAAATGCAATCCATTTGTCCCACATACTTTTATAAAGATTAGAATCTGATACCATATATATTATGAACTTAACTAGTTTTGCTTAGTTGGTATAAATTTTTTTGCTTAATAGAACCCCACTGCTCTTACTGCACCAAACACTTTTTTGGCAAAGGTACTCAACTTGTCTACTAACAGTCTGTTTGCTTGGATAAGAAGTTCTTTAAGCTCCAAAAGTCTAGAATCCATTGGCTATTTAATGAGATAAGAATCCATAGTAAAGTCCATTAGAATTGTGATGACTTTTTAATTCTGTGGGGGGGGGGATGTTTTACCATCCAAGAAGTCAAACTGAGAAAGAACAAGAGCAACTTAATCTTTCTTATCTTGTGGTACATTACTGCAACATCAGTCACAGTGTGTTTATGGTACTAAAATAATAAGATAGCATTGAAAAATATATAAAAGACCTTATTTGATGACTCAAACATCCAAAAGAACAAGCTACCAATCATCTCCGATATCAGCAATCGAAGATGTCATCCCTTGTGATGATGCCAAAGTTGCAGTTGTATCACCACCAAGGTAATCTTTTAGCTTGTTCAGGTCATCAGCAACACTGATCATGGTTGGTCTGCTTGCAGGAGCCTCCTGTGTGCAAAGAAGACCCAACTCGATCATTTCCATGATTGCAACTTCCCATACTCTCTTGACTTCATGGCTTTGTTCCCTTATATTCTTCACCAAAGAGGAGTCCACAATGTTCACCAAGCGACTGGCATAGTGCCTTTTCACCCAGTTGATCAAGCTCAGATCCTCATCGAACATGTCCTCTGTTGGTCTCTTTCCGGTAACCATCTCCAGCACAACGATGCCAAAGCTGTAGACGTCCCCTTTTGTTGATGCAGGTCTACCATGTCCATACTCTGAGAAAAAGGAAATATTTCAATCTTCAATCATTCAATGAAGCAACAAACTAAAATGCTTAGGCTTGTAAGTGCAAGCTTGACTATGTTTTATGTATATACGTATGTTCAAATGTCATGCACTAGATATCGAGTGAAGGATTAACTTGGACAGTATCTGATCCAAGTTTTTACCTATAAAATGCCAATCATGAAGCCAAATCATAGGCCAAGAAAGCGAGTATCGTTCTGATGTCAACTCCTGATAACAAATCATCGACGGACATAGATTTCATTGTGTTTAGGACACGGGAATTTACCTGGAGCAACATATCCAACTGATCCACGCAGCAGATTCGTTGTGGAGTTTGTCATGCGGTCAGATGATGCATTCCCTTCTCCACCTGGGCTGACCAGCATCGCGATACCGAAATCTGAAACCATGGCGGTCATGTCGTCGGCGAGGAGAATGTTGCTCGGCTTCAGGTCACAATGGATCACCTGCACCGGCGCATGGTGGTGCAAGTACGCCATCCCTTCGGCTACGTCGCTGCAGATGCTCACTCTTTCAGTTAAGCTCAGCCGCGGGCTCATTCGATCTCCCTTGGGGTGTAGATGATCTTCTAGGCTGCCTTCGCTCATGAAAGGGAACACCAGAGCTTTGAATTCCGGAAGGCTGCAAGCTGTTGTGATCCCCATCAGGTTCCTGTGGCGAATTGTCTTGAGGACCTCACATTCTCTGTTGAATGTTCTTGCAGAGTTGTGATCCTGCAGCTGCAGAACCTTAACGGCGAGGGAGCTGCCGTCCCTCAGCATTGCTTTGTAAACATGCCCGAAGCCACCTGACCCTATCAACCTGCTTTGGTCGAATCCTCCTGTGGCTTCCCAAAGCTCTCTGTAGGTTACTCTTCGATGACGACTCGACAAGTTTGCAGAATGCCAACTCCCATCCACTCCATTTCTCAGAAACGCTGTGCCTCTGCGTGCCTTGGCTGCTGCGACGCAGGTAATCGTAAGAAAGAAGAGCACCATGAAGATGATACTTACGAGCGACACTAGGAACTTGAGTGTGTGTGTTGAGTGGGAGCTGCGGAGTCGTTCTACCCCGCAAGGTTCGTTCCCTTCCAGTGATTCTTGAGTTAAGTTATCGAATACACCGCCACAAGGTAGAGCACCACTCAACCGGTTGTATGACAGGTTGAGCCGCTTGAGGTTGATGCAGTTCCGAAGTGACTCAGGAACTCCACCAGAAAGGGAATTGGAAGAAAGATCGAGGGACTCGAGGTTGCGAAGATTGCCGAAGGTCTCAGGGATTGGCCCTTGAAGAGAGTTGTGAGACAGATTCAACAGATGAACATTCCTACAAAGCACTCCTACTTCAGGAGGAATCGAACCACTGAGATTATTCGAGGAAAGATCAATCTCCTGAACCATTTCCATTTTGCTCAACTCCTTAGGAAGCATTCCTTGCAGTGAATTATGTGATAGGTCGAAGAAGAACGCCATGGTGCTCAAGCTTGCTACTTCAGCTGGTATTGCTCCGGTTAGCTGGTTGTGTGACAGGTTCAACTTCTCCAGCTTCATGCTTCCAAGGCTTGAAGGTATTGATCCCGCAAGTAAGTTTCCACCCAGCAGCAAATACCTCATGCTACGCAGCTTCGATACAGATGATGGAATTCTACCCGAAAGCTTATTCCGTGAGAGATCCAGACTTCCAAGTTTGGTTGAGATATCAGGAAGAGAAGGAAGTTCTCCATGTAGAAGATTGTCACTGATCCATATCCTCTCTATCTTGGGAAGAAGAAATAGCTGCAATGGGATGGTTCCTTCCAGGAGATTCCGGGACAAGTCCAGTGATGTTAGGTTCCGAAGGTCGGAGACATCCGAAGGTATCGCTCCACGGATTCTGTTATCCTGCAGAAAGATGATCGAGAGATTAACATGAAGAAGGCCAGCCATGGAGGGAAGTGTGCCCCTCAGATCATTTCCCGCAATCTCAAGCTCTTCCAGTTGAGTCAAGTTCGAAATGGCCCTAAAGAAGTGGTTGAGTTCTTCACCTTCCTCATCACTCGAAAGCTTGTTGTAAGAAAGAGACAGTGACTTCAAGGCCGGCATGTGCACTACAATCTCAGATGGCAGTCCACCACTTAGAGAGTTCATATGCAAAGCAATTCCGGTAAGATTTGTGGCATTGGAGAGAGAAGCTGGAATGCTTCCTCTCAAGCTATTCCGAGCAAGGAATAGGCTTCTCAGGTGATTGAGAGAGGTTCCTATCTGCAGAGGAATCGAACCCTCGAAAGAATTGTTGGAGAGGTCTACATACTTCAAATTGGTGCAGTTGTGGAAGATGGAGGGAGGAAGCTTCCCTTCGAGTTTATTGGAAGGAAGGTCCAAATACCAAAGATTTGCAAGCATGCCGAGGTTATCAGGTAATGTATGCTGTAACTCATTGTTTCTGAGGCTAATTACACCCAGATCAGATAATGCTCCTATCTCACCAGGAATGGACCCTCGAAGGAAGTTATATGATAGATCGAGGACTTGAAGCTGAGAAAGGTTGGATAGAAATGGTGAGATTGTTCCATGCAGAGATCGTTGAGGTAGAACCAGTTGCTTTACTCTTCCGCTTGTGTCGTTGCAAGTGATGCCAATCCAATCACAGACATCAGTCGATTCATTCCAGTTGCTCAGCACATTGTCTGGGTCTCGTATGCCTTCTCTGAATGCCAAGAGAGCCATTGCATCAGTGATGTTTGAAGTGCGGAGATGCAATGTTGGGTGGGGAAGAAGAGAGAAAAGGATGAAGAGGACATGGACCATGAAAGAGGTAGGATAACCCATAGGAGAGATGAATACTGTTGATGCCGAGAGTTGTAGTTTCTAAGCCAAGCATGGATGCATGGCTACATGTGGCTATTGCAACCTATGCTCAACATAGCCTTAAATAAGGAAGACAATGTGGTGCAGAAAGTGACTGACTGCTGGGATAACTATGTGATGAGAGTTTCTTCAGGTGATGCAGCAACCACTTCTCTTCCTAGTGGGAAGGGACCTACTCCATTTAGTGTCCTTCCTTCAATCTCCTTTTAATATTTTTGTCTCAATTTGAAAGAGAACATGGCACTAAACAATTATTTGATAGTTTAAGTAGTGATGTTTATCATTGCTCCACCCTAAACTTTCTTCTAGGATATGGTAATCTTCTCATTTTCCTGTCTAGGTTGGATCCTAGTCATGCAAGTAATTGACACTTACTCTTCATCTCATTACTTACTTCATGTTCCTCCTCATCTGTGGTTGAAAGGTCAATGAATAATCTCTTGTTTCTCTCTCTGTGTGAATATCCAAGGAGACTGGAGAGAGTCAAAAGGGGTTGTAATCTAGTGAATGGCCATTGGAAATCTGAACAAGATCTTCAGTGGGACTAAAAGGTCTTGGATTTTAGTTAGATGGATTGGTGCCACTTGTGATGTCTATATAATCTCATTTGCCAAAGTCTTTTGTCTTTGTAAAACGACATCATCATCATCATCATCATCATCATAAAAAATGAATTAAAACACTTAACCAGCAAGCTACATTGTAGTTTTTGATCTGAAACAAGGTTGTCATGAACCATATTGTCATCTCCATGTCTTAGAAACTCTGATAAAGATGATGGATTCAGAAGATAGTTCACTTTAGAGGCATGGCAACTTTGAGACATGATTGTACTTTGGACATACATCTAAGCTGGCATGAAAAATTATGATTCAATAGCTCACCAGAAAATTAGCATGCATGACTCCAAGTCAACAACCCTTCATAGTCTGTGCCCAAGTTTGCTGCTCAATGTTTGTCCATCTGTTTCAGTCATTACAAGGTCAATCAATCTAGGATGAGCCTCATGTGACATGCTTCACCTCATCAACATTTCTGGTGGTCAAGCTTCCACTTCAATCTGCCAAATAATCTAAGACCATGTAGCAAATTCTATAATGAACATGACCATAATAGAGATTAGTGCTCCTTTATCAGATTCAGATGAAAAGATCTGCCTTTGCTATGAGTAATTAACTCATCTACTTACCCACTCACTTAAAGAAGAACAGATGGATGCAATGAAAGTTCACAGTTGATCATCATGTTTGACTTGGTCTTTCGCATTCCTGTTTTCTTTTGAGAACTGAGATGTCAAACAGTGTGTCTCATCGATTCTTTTTGCAACAAACAGAAAAGAACAATGGATCCACAGGTCAACTCTTTCAGTCTTCGTGTGCCATGATGGCTCTCAAGAAACCACAGCAAGTTGGTAGGTGTAAAAGGAAGCTTTAGATGTTGTGGAAGATTATGCTTAGATATATCTGCAAGGATAAGACTGTGTACTTTGCAGACAAGGTAAATAGCTGCAACCTAGTTGTAATAACTTAGGGTTTAAAAACCTCTAAAAGGATTTGTGAACACATCATGAATAATTCAATGAACATTAAGAATTTATTTTGATCATTTTACCCCTGGATTTTAGGTCAATCGATAAGGTCTGTTTGAGGAAGTAGAAAGGGAAGATACTCAATGATAGTGTGTGGACTGCATGATTTAAATCTTTGTAGATAACCAAACCATATCAACTTTGTTATGTTGAGCAGTCCAAAAGATTGATTTGATTTGAATTAATATGGTAAATGTGTACGTTAGTCAACAACTCAATCCGCCAAAGCAACAAAGAGAATCTTTCTACTCCCCTTGGGATTGTTTAACCCTAGTCAAAGTCAGCAGCTTAGCATGAAACACCACTCTCTTCTTTCCTCGTACCTTCGTTGATCCTTAGGTACGAAGGGAATGTACACTATTAACTCTAGAGAACAATCTCTTGTGATGATCGCTCGTTCTACAGTCACCATTGCCTGTGGATGTTGAAGCTTGTTTCGAGCTCCTTCAAGGCTCATCGGAATCTCCTCTTGCACAAGCTACCATCACTACTTCCATGTTTCATTGCCCAACGGAGGATTGATAGAGGCCCAATCTGTCCGGAGTGGTTGCAAGCTATTTGCAATCACCGGTTGGCCATAAGATGTCGTTTAACTGAGTGATGACGTGGCGTCACTTAGGCTACCTAGCTGACTAGATAATGAGGTGGCACCACATAGGCATATCCCATTAGTATGATATCTAAAAGGGATTGAATTCCAGCACGTAATTCTAAATTATCCTAACTAATTTCTTTCTCAGATCATTGATTGAGTTACATATTGAAAGAGCTTGAAATCACGTTTGCAATATAGTCTTACAAAATCATTTGACTTAAAGAGAGATTTTAAGAGATAAAACAATAAGAGATGTTTACCTTCGATTTATCTAATTTGATATGACATATTTTAGATAATGAATTAAGTTAGATCAATTTTACTTTATTGAGTTGGCCATCATTTTATGATATTAATAAATAATAATCATGATTAATAATAATTAATTAAGATTTGTAAAAAGGATGCCAAGGAGTAGGACATATATTATAAATATAAATATTGGAGGATTTATATATATATATATATATATATAATATTAGTATCTAGAGTGGCAATATATAATTTTAAGACAAGGATACATATGTAAAAGTATCTCAGTGGGGCATGAATGAAATATAATTTGTAGCACATGTTATTTTATATGTATTATTCATATCTCACCATAATCACATAGTCCTATTATCTCTTGTAGTTAATTATGTTTAGTATCTTAATTTTTATATTTTAAAAAATTATATTAATAATTTTATATTTATGAAAATAAAATATTTAATCTTGTTTCTCCTTGTTAACTCTACCGATGGAAAATATCATATGTATTGTCATATATAGAAATGGTGCTTAAAAAAAAAGATAATTTTAATTTTCATCATCTAAAAATATTAATTTTACATAAGGAGAACTTTTGTGAACATTCACTATCCTCCCGGATGACCTATCCAATAGCAGTATCAATGACAATTCTCATCTCTTACATCGTCTTCTCTCCTTCAACTCTGTTATTCTTCAGGACTTTCGGATAGTCAATCCACTTTTATCATTAGAGGCAATACTCATATTCTATTCTATCTCATTTACTCTACTTTGCTCTCTTACCTAATGCTTTCGGTTTCACGCAAGATTGATAACTCTTTGTTGACGATAAAAATTAAATTATTTTTTTAATCTTATTTTAGTGTCATTTGTGTATGTGACAATAAGTGAAATATCTTTCACCAATTAAATTAAAAAAATAAGATTAAATATTTTATTTTTATAAATATAAAAAATATTAATATAAAATTTTATAGTAAACTAAAGGGGGTAATATTTAGTTATGTTTCCTATTATAGTGTCCGTTGGAGATGATTCCTTTTAATTATCGATATATGCTCTTTAGCAATCACACGGTTCATATCCAAAGCTGATGACTGAACCCGTGAAGTAGGTGCCAGTTAACCTTACGAGCGTCCCGCGATGTCACCACACCACACGCTCGTGTAACCCTAACCCAAGGAATAACCTTTACGACCACCCTTCTCACTGTCTCTCTGACTCTGCGCTTCTCCGTGCGATTCGATCGGAAATGGTGAGGAAACCTCGCTTTGCACTCTGTCGAGCTTCGTTTTTTCAATGATCAGTGTCGGTTTGGAGTCAAAATTAAGTTTATCTGGGCCTGTCAATCTTTCGTTTCTTTGTCACTCTCGTTCACTTTAATTCATGTCCTTGAGATGGAAGAAGCATCTGATTCTGATTCTCTATAGTCTTTTGAGTGAAAAAAGGGGATATATTTATACCCTAGCTTCTTCCACTTGTTGATCCGGAAGAATTACATCGAAGTAAGATCGATTGGCGCTGAATTGGGAAATTATGGGAAGAGGAAACGGGATTGTCTAGGAAAAAGATGAGATTCAGGTTCCAACGGTTTCAGTAATTTGATGGTTAGAGTGGGTTCTTCTAATGTATAAACCTTTTCCCATATTGATCGGACAAAAAGGAGAACTTTTGGTATTTGCCTCCGGTGGGGATGAATTTGGCATACTGCTATCCAGTTGTAAATCGAGATACTCGATGCTTCTACTTGAACCTGGTTGATATACCTAACCCTGCTTATAAAAAATAGGATGTTAAATATCAAGTGGTAGAGTAATCCAAGCACAATCCCAATCTTCAAATGATATGAGTTGGCTTTTGATTGGTGTCTTGGAATCTGACATAATCCGACCTGATTCATAAATAGTACATACATAAATTTATACTATTTTTAGTAAAAATAAATACTAAATATTGCATGACCCAGCTGTACCTAAACCATTTACTTTAGTTGTAGCTGCAATCTGAGTTCTGATATGAGAGTTCTAATCTAAGTCAATTATTCTCACGATCTCTTAATACCTATAAATGATCAAATCATGACATAAAGCACTGCTTTGAACTTTATAGAATGTCTAAACTATGAAACCTCGTGATTCGTTTTAGGAATAATTGTCCCTAGATTGAAAGATAGGCTGATATTATAGTTGCTTACAGAAGCCTGTTATTAATATATGCTAATGCTTATTGACTGGTAGAATACTGCATATAAAAACCACTGTGTTATGTTGCTTGGAAATTCTTTTTGTTTGTGCTGAGACAAACTTCGTTCTGGAGTCATGTTATCATATTTTTTCGAGACCTTTTTCAGCATTGATGTAAACTGAAGCCTAGACTGGTAGCATACTGCATAGACAATTTTTACTTGTTTTGTCATATGTTTTCTTCGGAATAATGTTGCCATGACCCTTTGCATGTTTTGCTTCAAAAAGTTGGTACTGATTCAAGTGGTTTTATTTTTATAGACACCAAAAAAATCTGTCAAATATTTTTGAAAGATATTGCCTTTTGACATTGATGGTGCTGATCCTTGCCTTGAACTAGCGTATGTAAGTATACAAACATTATATGGATGGTGCTATTTAGATGAGTTAAACTGCCCATGAAAATTATAGGGGTAATATCACCTCTGGCACACCTGATGCGTAGTGTTTTTATATTTAAGTGGAGAGAATAATCCTGAATTCAGTGGTAATGTTGCCTCGTACACCTTATGATTGTAATTCGTGTATGTGGATCCCACACATAAGATATGCGAGAGATGTCTTTACCCCTGAAAATTTTAGGAGTGATTCTGTCCAAGCTTTTTCCAACATGATGTTGATGTTCTCAAATCTTATTATCTGTTTTTCATGTTTTTCCAATATATGTAGTGCTATATAAGTATGCACATTGAGTGGGGCAGCTCAGTGCTGTATGCTTCAAGCTGCATGTAAATCTTTTGAACTAAGAAGCTGATTTCTCTTTTGATCCCTGAATCATCAAAAAACTTGTTTCACTGAATTAACTTTCACTTTGGGACTTTACTCATAAATGTATCGATTTTGAATAAGATCAGCTATGAACATTTTTTACTTAATTCTGGACTAGCAAAAAGCACAAAACAGGAGTACTATATGTCACGTTTCTGATATCTTAGGCACTACATAGTTTACTAAGTTTAACCTTTAATGAAGATGTTTCAGATGTTTACTAATTTGTGTTGTTACAAAATATACAGGCAAACAGGCACACCATTATTTTGATGCAATCATCTCCGAACAGGGCAACCAGAACATTCATGGACTATGACTCTATTAGCCAGGCTATGGACGGTACAAACTCTTTTATGCTTTAACATGCTGATATTTTCATGACTGTTCATAAAAGTTCATCACTGGACATTTCTTATCTGGTAAATGTGTTTTTTACGGAGTCCTTGTATATCCAATTTATGGGAAATTAATGAAAGTTGTGGTTATTCCTCCTGGATTCAGATAGTCAGTAGAATTGTGAACTTTGATTGGTCACTTGTACAGAAGTCTCCATCATTTTCATTAGATAATGTATATTAAGAATGTATAACATTTACATCATTTATGCAAGGTACATCAAAATTTAGGTAGATAAATAGATATATGGATGATGTCTGCTATTTGCTTGTGTTGAGCAATGCCAATTTGTGAAGTTAATTTGTATTGTTATAAGTTAACCAACATATATACTTGATATAATGGAACTTTATTACTATTTTTACAATTCCCTTGCTACCCATACTGCCAGATGACTCTTGACACCCTCCAAAAATTATCAGAAATTGTTCCGAAATCAATGTAGATATTTTCCTTTCCTCAGGCCTTCTATTTAAACTTGGAAGTTTTAATGGTTATGCATTATTTTATGAATGCTTTGCCAACTACACTCTGACATTTATCTACCTGTAAGCCTGATGTAATTGTTGAATCGTGGTTTCTCACATGAAGCCTTACTGTCTTTAAGTTATTATTATTATTTTTGTTTCTAACTTCTAATCCTATCACCATGTAATTTGAAGGAGTGGTTGCTGACCGTGTGCATTTGTTAAAAAAATTTAATTTCAGATATGTAGATTCAAGTGGCAACCATCTGTAGAAGTTAACTTTTTCTTCTTCTTTTTTTGCAAGAACTTTTCTATTTGAACTGCAAGGTTTCAGCCTCAAATTAGTGCCCTAAAGTTCTGTCACAAGGCTGTGGTTAAATTTTATGTCAACATAGTCATTTCATGTCAATACAAATTGTAAGGTAGGTCGTTTGAAAAGGTTCCTCGATTCTTTTTAGTTTCTGGTGTTTTTGAATATGGATGAAACTCCCTGCATGCAGGGCCACAAATTAGTAGCGATAATACTGTCAATATCTTGGGGTAAGTTTTTAGCACGCCCTGTTCTATGCCATGGTTATATGCTTTCTTCTTGGTGACCTAGTTGGTTGTTGTCCCAACAATGCTCATTTACTGGTGTATTTGTTTTTCCCTTTTTTTTCCTTAATGAGGTTGATCTCAACTGTTTCATCCACCTGATTTTTCTCAAATAATTGGGTATTGCTCGCATTTACAGGAATTTGTGGGTTGTACGAAAGAAAACTCAAGGAGATAAATCCAACCATCCAAAACATCACCTACGACATTTCAGATCTTTATAATTTTATCGATGGCCTAGCAGACCTCAGCGCACTGATGTAAGTATCATCATCTACACTTCCTGCTGCAGTAATTTCTTTTACCTACTAAATGAAATGTGTTATTTTCTTTCTGCTTGCAGCTTTGACCACTCAATTCAGGCGTTTCTACCATATGACCGGCTGTGGATCAAACAGCGGATGTTTCAGCACCTCAAGAGATTGGCTTCAAGTTAAATTCCGCTAGAAAAATATAGGATGAACAATGTGCCTCACTGCACTATGCTATTACTCACTGTTCAAATAGAAGGGTAGAATATATTGGTACAGAATTCTGTTATTAGAATCTGAGTTTTTTTGTTCATCTGCTTAATGTGGTTTACTGTTGATATCTTTAGAACTGATGTCTGCCTTTGTACTCTTTTCCAGTTTCTTCATTAAGATTATTAGTATTATAAATTATTTGGAGTTCTCATCTGGCATCATATTTTCTCTTAAAATTAAGTATTACACTGCATGGAATAGCCTTCAAATGCCTATGAGCCTTGGCATATAAATAATATTGCACATGAATTAGCCTCTAAATTTCTCTTAGTTCTTTCTAAGTCGAGATTTACCTAATTTTTGAGCCTTCTAATTTATCCTCGAAGAATATTCTTTCTGAATGAATCACATGAAATAAATATGGTTAATTATATATTATCTCCCTCCCCTCACTTGATTCCTATTAGAATTGTAATCTCTATACTTAAAAAATTTAGGATCATTATGATTCTGAAAATAAAATAAATAATTTTATTTGTCTTAATGTTGTCAATTGTATTGACGGAAAATATAACACGTAATATCATGTGGACACATAATATCATGTGTTGGATCGATAAAAAAGTAATAAGCAAAAAAAATAATTTTAATATTTTTTTATTTTTAATAAATTTATTAATAAAAAATAATTTTATGTGAATAAAAAAGATATTAAAATTATCTTTATACTTATTACGATATTATGATAAATAAAATTATTTATTTTACTTTTAAAACTATAAGGATGTTAATATAAATTTTTTTAGTACAAAAAAATTTTGGATCATAGGATTCAAATATAAGGAATAAGATATTATAATTAACTCAAATAAAATCTGAAGTGTTCCTAGAGAAGAACATGACCAATCTAGATAACAGAGGAATAGAAATCCCATAGATATCCCATATATCTGGTAGAGAGCTTCTATCTTGGATTAACAGAAAGCACAAACATAACAAGGCATCTGGCAGCAGTGCAACAGTAGGAACTTTATGCAATGACCATTTCTTTGATATACATGTTGAAAAATGGGGATTTCGTCAATGTTTACAATTGGAGTGTCACAATTGTGAATCCACAGTACAGCTCAACTTGTTTGGCCAATATGGATTTCCAAACAGCTTATACGGCAACATGGACTGATACACTTCATGAAAACACACAAGTTCACACTACAATGCAAACCTACATTTACAGGGCCAATGTCTAAAACCCTGACATACATCTACACTACTATTTCTATACATCAAAAGCAGGAAGGATGATGACCTTTTGAAGAACATATGCATGAAAGTTAGTTTGATGGGGAGGTATCTTCTTCGTCTTCTGCGATATTGAACAAGAACTGAGGCAACGAGGCAATGCGAGGGAGATGCATCAGCAGCTCCCCAAACGAATCTTTCCTTGAGATGCTCGCTGCTGTCTTGGCACCTGAGATATCGTTGAACTCGCCTTCGGTAGGTGGAGTGTGCTTCTCTGATGTACCATCATGGAAGTCATTGTCACCAGCGTTTGACTGCTGGCTGTGGACTGTGCCAACATCTTTCTGGAGCAAACTGCAAAAGGAATTCACCTTTGACATGACAGATTTTTCATCAGAGGCAGGCAGCTGAGAATCACTGAAGAGGCTCTGAACCAACTCTTCCAACATCTCTTTGTCAGGTATAACCATACCCGACAACTCAGGATTCCCCCAACTGATCTGCTCAGAAATGCAATGCCCTATTTTGTTTACAAAGTCGTTAATGGACATCGAAGGCTTGAGTCCAGGGAATTTCCATTGATTCCAGCAGTTTTGATTCTTTGTCACTTCAGTTTCCACCGTACTAATTTCTTTCACCACCCGACGTTCTCTCACTAAAACAAAGTAGAAGATAAGAAAAAAAAAAGGATAATTGCAAACAGTAAATTGCATTGCAGGTTAACTGATCAATAAATTAACATCAAATGAACTCTGTGGTAAAGGAACAATAGAAAAGAAGGAAACGGAAGTTGTGGGTCATATCTATCGCCAGAAAAGATACAAATCAATGAACTGATGGAATTAAAAAATCTATCACCTTTGCTCCAAACCATAGTTATCAGAACTGGATCAGACTGGACTTTGACTGAAAGAAAAGAAAACCAGGCCCTCTTCCATTCGGGTCCACTTATAAGCTTAGATGAACAGAAACAAAAGGCAAAATCTGGATGATGTCAAGCTGTATGCACTATACTAACCAATCTGCTCGGAGCCACCAGAGGAGGACAAGAAGAAGTGGAGATGGAAAGGAAAGCAAGGGGAAGAAGGATAAGAGATGAGGAGGAAAAGGTAAGGCGAGTAGGAAGGAGGAGAAGAGGAGTATGATGAGGAAAAAGGAAGTAGGGGGAAAACAGAGGAAGAAGAGAAGGAGAAGTAGGAGAAGAGGAGAGGAAGCATGAGAAAGGAAGTACTCGGCCATCGTTTCTCACCTTCCCAGGATGGTTTCTGACAATGCTCCTTTAACAGTGCATCAAAGGATGGCAAAGATACAAATTTAAATGTTTTCACCACATGCAAAACATTGTGCTTTACAAAAAAATAAGTTCCAAATTAATCCCTTGCCAAACGAATGGTACTAAGCATGATATTGAAATACATGGATCACAATGACTTCAATTTCATCTATTCAAGTAATATTTCAGTATTCTTTTTCTTTCTTTGTGGTTCAAACTACAAATTCTAGCAATTCTCCAAAAGAACCAAACAAAATAAGCAGAAAAATAGTGCTCGACAACAAAAGAAAAGCCTACTGGTTATTAGAGAAATTATGTACTTCAGTTCATAGTCTATTAATCATCAAGAAGACCACACTATCATACAACAGGGTTCCAAAACTACCTGAGCTTGGTGAGTGGATTTCGCCTTTAGAAACATCAGAAAATGTACCGACAGAATCCCTTACATCACTCTTAAAAGAAGTTGATGTGCCAACAGATGTAGATGCAGAATCTTGAAATTCTTGAATTGCAGATCCACATTCATCCTTCAGCTTATCAAATGGATGGCACTTGTATTCCTCTTGATGATCAAACACAGAACCCCTTGGTTCAAAGAAAGGGCTTTTTAAAATGTTATCTGGTTCTTGACTTAGTGCATATAACCGAGGATCACATTGGATAAGCTTCTCAAAATTCTTATTTAACAGACCTTGTGGACATTGCAGAAAATGCCTCCTGTAAGAAAGCATATCAGAATTTACAAGTGTTGACCTATTAAAAAAAATCAAGGATTCCAAAGGATCTGAAGTTGCAAGTTATCACTCACCAGTTGCAACTTATCACTTACCAGTTACTAATTAATTGGCACGTATATAAAGAAGCATACAATTAACACGTAATCTAAATCAGTCACTAGCTTTGAGACAACCACTATTTCAAATACAAATCTGAACATTATTCAATCAATTTGAAAAAGCTCATTTGAAGGCACAAAACCAAGTAGATGACTTGCAAAATGAGATGTCACCTGGTGAATTTACACAGTTAGCCAACTGTGAAAACATGCAGATGCAAGTTGTTTCGTATGTAAAGTTTTCCTAGTTTTAAGTATTCTTTCAATTCTCCTTAAAGTAGATCAGCTAAGACCATCCCCATGCCTAAACACGGTCATGTAACTCACATCATTCCTTTTAGTACTTTGCATAAGTGACACATTGTCCACCACATGGAACCATATATTGTGAGTCACTTAGCATGTAACAGGTCAAGAAAAGATCTTGCTTACTGGAACTGGTAAAGGAAACCATGGTATGTTAACAATAAGACTAAATGGTACAGGAAAATGCCCAGAGAAAACAGTACATACATAGAACTGAATGTCTCATTGATCTATAAAAGTGTGAAAGGACCATAATAAATTAAACATCCTTTGTTACAATCAATTAAACATAATAAATGTATTGTTTACCTGTGCATGCTTGCTTGCCCATTAGTGAAATCTGAAGTCGCCTGCCATAATGTATGCTTCCTAGGCTGTGGATTAGTCTCCCTAAAGAAAAGAGGCTGCCTTGCCAGCTGCACAGAAGATACGAATGTCTTATAAAATCGAGGAATCTTGACAAAATATTGTGATGTACTAAAACCACAAAAAATACCACTATATTCAAAGTCTCTGGACCATTTTCTGGACAAGTTGCCCTGAGAGCTGTGATATCTGACCACTGGATCTCAATCTTGCTCTTAAGACCACCTTCAAGAATTTCCCAGACAAGCTTCCGCTTTGCAAAATAGCACTTGGCTACTAAATCTCCTTCATACCTTGATGCATACTGTTAAAAAGGAAATAAATTAATCATTCTTAATTCCACCTACTTGTCTTGAAATCAGAGTTAGGAGTTGCTCATAGGCCAAGATCCAACCAAACTAGAATACAACATAAGTGTGTGGTGCAAACTAAGCCAATCTTATAGTATAGCGCCAAAGCTGATAATCACGTAAATGATCAACATCTCAATTTAATATGATGATAAGCCATGCCCGTGGCTCCTCAACACAGGCAAGGCACAACTCAATCTTTAATATTAACAGCTCAAGGTAAAAATGTTATCAATTTAATGAATCATCGTTTTTATTAATTTAAGCTCATGCATCAGTAATCCCCTGCCATGTTAGATGTCAAAAAAGAAGAAAGAGAAGGATGACCATCCAGATGCTACAATTTCTAACTAATGCATGGAACTTGAAGAAACCACGAGCAATAATTTGCAAAACAAAGATATACCTTAGGTCTGCAAAGATAGCTTTCAGATTTGATAATTACAGTCTACGGAAAATGATAAAAATCTACGTGATCAGATCTGCTAAAAGAATAAGAAAAACTTGGCACCAAAAACCAAAGTAATCATATGATGCAAAGTGCTCCATTTCTTTTTTCTTTTTTCTTTTTTAATCCACTAAGTTAAGAATAAAGAAAATGGAAGATCCAAAGGACATAGTTGACTTACCTCCCAAGCTCCGATCCTCAAAAGGGAAGCTGGAAAGTTAGATGCTTTTATCTTTTCAGTGTTGGCTAAAGCACAAGTGGACCTAGTATCTTTCTTGTTCTTATCCTCTAAGCTCTCATTTTTCATGATGCCAGAGCCGACAGCTGCATTTGCTTGAGACAACCTCATCTGAATCAAGTTAAGCAGCGAAGGACTCTTTCGCAGACGAAGACCCAATGGGCTAGGCTCATTAAGCAGATTATGTTCGATGGCGTCTGTTGGAGGCATAGTTTCGCCTGTTTCCCACTTCTGTTACAAAGGAATTTAGTAAGATTAACTTCAAAAATGTACCACACTTATTATCTTGACAAATAGATTCCGTAAGATAGCATAACAAATTGCCTATTACAAAAACATGCCAACTCAATTGTCACTAGTATGGCTCAAATCACCCCATATTAAGTAAAGGAGTATGAAAACAAACGAAGAAACCTGTCAAACATTTTCCGCAAGAAAGTTCTTTCTAAAAGCTCGTTCTTTTTACTCGGAAAAAAAGGAGCATTAGCCTTACAAGTTAAACCTCACCCATCTATTCCGGTGATGATAAAAGGCAAACTTTAATTATGTGCGCAAGATGAAAACCTCTCCTCATAATTAAAAAAATCAATAATTATCTCACATTTAGATTCCAAAAATGAAAATAAAGAACTTTTGTTTTTTACAGTCAGCGGTCCGAATACATCTTTCTTAAGGCAAATCCACCGGAATCTATATGTTATTCCGCAAAGAAGAAACATCATGATAAAACATTTGCGTTATCGGAACCCTAGAACACAATCGGATCAAATTATTCTACAAATTTGCTCGCTAATCATCTGCAAGTAAAGGCAGATACAAGACAGAATAAAAAATATTCAGGTTTTCGCTTGAGGAACAAGAGAGATCCACCTGTTGGGGAGGAGGGGGAGGACGAGCCATCTTGAATCTCTTATCAGGCGGTCCATGTTCGTCCTCCAACTGGTCCTCAGTTTCCACCTTCACCGGCGCCGGCAACTTCTTGATCGGCAGCTCGGAGTCCGGCCGCAGCTTGCCGTAACTCATCAGCTGAACCATCAGAGACTCAGCAAACACGGAAGAAAACGAAATGAACCCTTGACCGTAGATCCACGCAATCTTTCCACTCTGTCAACCTCCTCTAATCTAGATCCCAACGAACCAGAGATCTACTCGAGGGATTGGAGTTGCGATTGGGATTAGGAGAGGAGTCGAAGGAACACGTGCGGCGGCTTCTTCCACGCTTACCTTCTCCGAAATCAATTCAATGATTCAAGGAATATAAATACACCGGACATTTGGGGGAAGGGGTCCATCTCAGCAAGCGGCCATACACGTGCCACGGGGTAGCGGCGCGCGTGGGTTTGGAGTTTCTCCCATAGCACATTTATGCCCCAATGGCGTTCGTTCTTCCCCTTTCATACAACGGCAGTTTCAGCAGATAGAAAGGGTAACATGGTCTTTTGAGTCTGAAAAGAAAGAAAGGATAGGATCGTCGTGGTGATGTCGGCATGTGAGCGGGCGTGTCAGCACGTGCCGCCAGGGGGGCGGTCCGCAGACGCAGGGGACAAAGGTGGGGTCCGGTTCTGGAACCTTCACTGCTCGGGACGGGGTCCACCTGGTGGCTGGGGGCGGCGCAGGCGCATGTGGTGTCCACGTGGATTTGGAGCTACCCCGTTGTGGATAAAGATCGGATATAGTAAGCGAAATCCGTCCACGGCGGGAAAAAAACAGTTGAAGCAATGACAAAAGAGAACGGACAGCTGTCGAACGCTCATCTCCCTAAAATTGCTATATAGGACGAATTCCAATCCCTAACTTTCATAAATGTTGCATACGTCCCAATTTTTTAATATTATTTCAGAATTTTTTTTTCCTAAGTAACCATTTTAAAATGTTGTTCACTGACTTACTCTAAATGTAAGGATATCATATATTTATACACACGTGACATTTATATCATCAAAGTTAATATTGAATAAGAAATCTTAACACGAAAATTACTTCCAAATAATAAACATTAAAAATTAAGATTTAATTATTTTATAAAATACTTAATGAATCATTATATTTTAATAAGATAGAATAAAAAATGCTTTAAATACTCTTAAATTTCTCTCTAGTTGATCTGAGTAAAATTCTTCAAAATTTATGTAAAAAAAAATATAACAAGATTTAATTTAATTTTTTCCATAAATATAGACATTGATTATTGACCCATACTGATCTTGTGTTATTTTTTTAATTTATTATCTAATCAATATGTGAGATTTTTTTATTTTTTTATCAATAGAGAGAGAGAGAGAGAGAGAGAGAAGGGAATAGTGTGTATACACACACACACATACCCTTCTTCCCCAACTCTTCTTCGCAACCTCTCGCCCCCCATGGTTTGTGTAAACCAAAAGGAAGAGAAGAAAATGAACACAATAAACACAACTCTTCATATTTTTGGCAATGGGTTTGCTTAGGCAGAGAGCCATGGAGTGACTATGGTGTTTGTGAAGAGCTACAACAAGTTTCTATCTTCGTAATCAACTGCGTGAAATTGGTCAGGAAATCATCATAATTGTCGCCCATCTATAGAAGTTAAGGTGGCCAACGACAAAAAAACAACGCTGTAAAGCCATTGAAGCAGATATATCACAGTTTCAACATCAATATTATAAACAAGCATAGCTATGTTTAAAATGAGAGAAATATCATATAATGTAACAGGATTAGCTTGCATAGTTAATCCCATGATCTACTTTACATGGGGACTTCTTTTGTTATTTTCTGTGACTATAATGAAATCAGCCAAAGAGTTACTATGATGCCCATACAAAATATAGCTTTCAAAAGAGATAAATCATCGAATAAATAAGAAACAAATGCTAATTTGAATTCAAGATGAACATTTGGATATTTAATCCCCTAGGGAATCCTATTTTATCAACTTAAGTTTTTGATTTAAAATGCAAAATTCAATTTAAAGGACAATGGTACAGCTTGTAAGCAAATGCCAATTTTACGAGACTTCAGATCATTCTAAACTAAATTAACATTGGTACAATAGTAAAGTTGTTCTTTACTAACCTTAAACATTAAAATATTTAAAGATCAAACTAAATACATTAACCCTGCCATGGAGGAGAGCCTCATGAACTAGATGCACCTTTTTTTATCTAAATTAAATTAGATACAAGTCTCAACTAGTCCTCCCAACTTAATGAAAAAAAGATACTACTTCACTTAAATAAGATAATTCAGTTATGGTGACAAATTATATAGACTACTCAAGGACAAATATAGTGGTTAATTAAGTGCAAAATTTCTCATGTCAGTCATCTGTGCAACAGGAAATGCTTCAAGAAAAGGAATGACAGACAGTGAGGTAAGGTCATAAAAGCTAATAACCAGTGAATTATGAGAATGTACTTACAGGCCTACATCTCACCAGGGAACTTTTGAGAGGGTACTCAGTAAATATGCAGCACCTCAGCAATCAAAAACAGTGTTGTGCCAAAGAGAACTGACTGCATTGACACTTCGATTTCAGAAACCTCCCCCCCCCCCACTTTGCACTTCCAGACAATTCAATCTACATGTACCCTGTGTATGGATTATGTGATGGATCTTGTGCATACAGAACTCCAGTCGGACCAAATGGGTTGCCAAATGGATTGGTGCCGTCCTGTCCAAGAGCTTGTTGCTGCTGTTGCATCAACGCTTGTTGCTGAGCCATTGTGACCATTTCCACACTGGCTGATGGTGCTATACCGTTTGAGGCATAGAAAAGGTCCTGAAAGTAATGTGAAGTATCAAAGGGATTTGGTGCCACCTGACCTGTGTGATATCCACCACCACCGGGATTCATGGTTCTTGCAAAAGCATCATCATACAAACTGTCCAGTGTTAGTCTATCGAGTCCACCAGCCTGTAAGATTGGGAATAATAGATGTTGTAAAGAATGCAAGGGTAGGCTACCGGGATTCCTGCTGATGAATTCTTTAATAGAAGTAATATGTACACATCGACTTAAATTCATTAAATGAATTAAAACAACACCAAGTATAATAGATAGTTCTACCAGTTTGCTCTGTGCAACAAAATTTTCATTAGAATTTGGTGTGCCAACAAGTACAAACTCCCACCCAGAAGTCCCGCTTGTTTCGTCAGAAGTACTCTTTAAAGGATTATCTGCATAAAAGCAAAAGCATTTGTAAAAAAGATTAGGAATACATAATCATAGATAATCAAATAACAAAGAATTAACTTATAGTTCACCATCAGCAGTAATAGCAAGGACTAGGGAATTTTTCTCTTCCATTTCTTCTGCACGATGGTTGAAGTCATCCAATTCCTGAAAGCACACTAATGAATCAACACCAGTAAAGTGATTACTTCAATAGCAACTCACTGAAGAGAATGCTTTATGTATTCAGATTCTACCAGGAGATCAGTTGTCTGTGCTTTTAGTGGAGCATCAACAGCTTCAGTTGCAGGTGGTTCAGGTGATGCTGGGGTTGCCTCTTGGTCATTCTGTTTATCCTTTGAGTAATGAACCACGGCTAGAACAGGTTTTGGAGTGGTAGAAATTTCACTGTTCACCTGATAACAGCCATCCTACTGTTGATATTATGAATTCATCAGCATGGTCAAGGAAAACCATGCCATCATGAAGAGACAACCAGAATTTAGAAGACTCATGATAATCAAAAGCAAGGTTTTAAATTTTGAATTGTACCGCCCGTACTGGGCGGTATCAGCTGGCAGATAGAATGAGGAGCACGACGGCGAGGAAGACGAGGCTGCAGCGCTCGTTGGACGGAGAAGGCATGACAGAGAAGAGAGTTGGATGTGGCGGGACACGAAGAAGCGCTCCGTCGAGCAGAACGCAGTAGGGGGCGGGTCCTCGCTTCGTCGGGCAGAACACTGTAGGGGGCGGGTCCTCGCTCCGTCGGGTGAAACGCGGTAGGGGGCAGAGAGATCATGGTCGCTGTGGTCGGGGAGGTCATGATTGACGACGAAGGAAGGGATCCTGACCTAGGTAGGATTGTTGCTTCCTCTTCTCGCTCTCGCCATCATCTTCGTCTTCTTCCTCACAATCGCTGAGAGCGGCAACGAGGGGAGAGAAGGAGATGAGCTCGCCCTAGGCTGGATCCCCGTCAGATCCGACTGTCGCGGGAGCATTGCGAAGTGCCTCACGGGGGATGAGTTCGAGCTGGGGATGGAGGCGACGTGTCGCATCCTCGCTCGCTCTGTCATCACCCTCTTTCCGTCTCTCGAGATGGAAAGGGGATATTTTTATAAACAATTTTTATAGTAATTATTACTCATAAACATATGTATATAAAAATACATATGTTTATGAGTAAACATATGTATATAAAATATTTTATATACATATATATATATATATATATATATAAATATATATACTGAGCGGTATGCCAGGGCATATTGCCCGCTCGGTATGTCATACCGTACCATACCGAGCAAAGCTCGATACACCAGTACAATACGAAATTAAAAACCTTGATCAAAAGCATGTTAAAAGTCCTACCAAAGAAGGAATCAGCATGATACAATGATGTTATAAATTCATTATGCAATATCCTCTATGACTTGCAATGATATTCTGACCTCAGAAGAAAACTGCAAATCTGCTCAGTTCTCTCCATACATGAGTCTCACCATGCCAGGCTTTTATTTAACTTTAAACCAAGAGAACTGTCAGGATTTCTTGTAACCTCTTTTATGCCCTTAAATTGTTGTGTCAGTATCCATTTTAACTGGTTGGAAAGATCCAAAAGAAGCAAAAGAACACAAAAGCATACAACTACTATGACCCTGGTAAACAGACATCGAGCAAACCAAAGAAAAAGGATAGAATCTAATAACTTGTTGTCAAGCAGAAAAACAGGAAGAGCCAATAAAAACAGACAAAAAAGACAGAACAAAGAATAAAGAGAGAAGATAGGCTCAATGAGCCAGAACATATTTTGTACTAATAACTTCAAAGTGTGTATGTTTTTCTTTCTTCTTTGTTGCGAAGGTGTCAGCTAGCTTAGTTGGTAAAGATTTTGACAGTTTATCACAATGTATTGAGCTCGAATCCCGCCTTGGCCACTTATCCTTTGCACAAAATTTCAAAGTCATAACTGTGTTTCAGAAACTGGTGCCATCTTCTCTATATACATTCTGCTAGACTTGCCAGCTGAACCGATTGAATAAGATATGAAACTAGTTGCCTGGTAAGTCCAGTTAAGAGTTCTTATATAACT